CTGGGGTAATCGGGATAGGTGTGTCGGGGGCAGTGCGGTTGGCACAGGATAGAGCAGGCACACACATCATCATTTTTACTTTAATACAGGTATTTCATAAGTTAGAGCTGTAAATGGGGAGTAAGAAAGAATTGGAATGCATAGTCATGTTTATTGTTGCATTGTTCACAATAGCAAAGAGTTAGAAACAACTTAAGTTCCTATTAACAAACTAATGGATAAAGAAGCTGTGGTATATTCACACAAAGGAATACTACACTGCATTGAAAAACTAGGAACTCATGAAATATTATACAAAATGGGTGACCCTGGAGGACATTATGCTGAGTGAAATATCTCAGTCACAAAAGGACAAATACTGCATAGGGTCACTGTTGTAAAACAGGAGTGACACTGGAGTTGGGGAGAATTTGAGAAAGATGGGATAAATTATATATATGGCATTAAAGCAGATAAGGGAGAGAACTGTTTAAAAGGGATATATGATTAGGTATTACTGTCATGACAGGAATCCAGCACGAACGCAGCACAGTGGAGTGGACTTTGGGGGAGGAATTGTATAACAATGAAAGAATTTTTCTTCTACTTTTCAAAGAGAAGAGTGAATTGGTGGGTGGGGGCTGGAAGAAAAGTGCAACAATGAATGAATGGAAATCCAAAGTCTCTGTAAACTTTCATTAAAATTTATAATAAGAAAGAAGAAAGAAAGAACTGGATACCCATAACCAATACCTTTGCTTCCTGGAACTGAATCTAAGAATAATATACACAAAATGTATGCACTGGAAAAGGTCATTATAGCATTATTGATAATACTTAAAATTAAATACAATGTTTGAGTTAAAGAAATAGAATGCAATTGAATAGTATTAACATAAAAATATTAATTTAGAAATATTTGATAGCATATTGGTAACTGAAACTAAAGTCCCCAAGTAGTCACAAGTCCTAGACACATTTTGGATTTTTTTTCAGACATACAGAGCAAAATTATAAGGAGGAAAAGTCCAAAAAGATACCTATCAAAGTGTATATTATGAATTTTATTTTCCTTTTCTACATTCTCAAATGTTATAACAAACAAATATTACTTAAGCAACTTGCTTCTTTAACATTTTAAAAGTATTCCTTAGAGATCATTCAGATTTAAAAACTGCAAGGTATAGTTCAAACAATACTAACATCTGCAAAACAAAAGGATGGGATTTCCAATGCCTTTACCCAGTCCTACACTGACCACCAAGAGGACCCCCCCGACGTCCTCAGCAAGCAGCATGCACAAACGTTAAAGTGCTGACGATAGTAATACAAAGCAATCCCAGCAGGCTGAAGGTAACCATTCTGATTTGTGTCCTGAGATGTGCGTGGTTATAAAACATACTGGCTCAGATTACAGGCTACATGACAAGCTTGTCTGGTACAACCTAACAGTGGAATTTATACAGAAAGAGAAATTTATACATTGCATTTTTTTAGGGTGAAATGAAATACAGAAGCACAAAAACTCATGGAGGGTTCAGCCCTTTCTTATGTGGTTCTAAAGCTGGCCTTCCAGGAAGTGCCCATAACTGTGATTTAACTAATGTCACATTAAACTTCAAGGTGAACAGGGGGCCAAACTGGGAAGGCGTATTGAAAGGGGGAAACTTTTTGTATATTTCCAGGTGAACAGGGAGAAGTCAGGCCTTCTCTCTCCCCTTCTTTCCCTCCCTCCCTCCAGATCATTATGGCTGATAACAATGGTTTTTCTCTCCAGGGGAGTGTAGATGACACATTTTTCCTGTAGCCTATCTTCCTGTAATAAGCAGGAATTCCTGCACCTTCTGGGTGCCCTTCCTGTCAACTTACATTTCAGATTTCCTCAAAAGGCCTTCTACCACTTTAATATTTGAAAAATGTCAGCTCAACCCCAGACAGCTAATATAAACAAGCTGAAAAGCCTACCACCTAAAGTTAAAACTGTGGAAAGCAAAATTTCTTTTTAAGAAATTCTTTCTCGGAATCTCACTGCTGGTAAGGCAGGGAAGAAGTAACCTGGTCCTTCCAGCTCCCGAGGAGTCTGTAATTCTTGTGCTTCGGTTGTGCCTCAAATTAGAGGTCTGGAAAACCGAATTATAGTCATCTAGAAAGTTCGTAAAGGTCCCTGAATTGAACATGTTGTTAAATCTTTCAGTTTGTATCCACCTTTCACTTTTCCTCTCATCTCATTGGGTTAAGAGCATGACAAAGAAAGTTTAGTAGTGGGGGGTGGGGGGAGAGAGAGAACTGGCCAAGTGAGAAGAGCTGAATTAGGCCAACTCCTAGAGCAGTAGCCAAGGCTCCTTTACCATTTTATAAACGACTGCCCACTCACTTTTGTCAATAATTCTTCTGCTGAGCAGGTCCTCATGCTCATGTCAGATACACCTTCCAAACAGGACTGAACTAAGAGCATGTAGATAAATGGTGATTGACACCAAGGGCCACCAGGACCTGACCTCTCATGGGTACTGCCATATTGGAAAAGCACCACGTGGTTGGTTATTCCCTTTAATTTCCCAGCTCAGGAACTCGCTGCCTTAAAAAGGAGCTAGCTCCTCCCTGGGAGAACCTCAAAGGACAGAAAGGGAGGCCCAAATTAATCAATTCATTCATTAGTGGTTGAAATTTGGACTCTGAATCCCCAAAGGCCCTATGCACCATAAGCATTGCCTTTTTCATGAAACCTTGATCGTGCCCCAGAGAGAAAGGCACTTTTCTCTCTAAAGACCAACAGTGGTGCATGCCTGTCCAATTATTCCAAATGTGAATTGTATCCACGTTCTCTTTATTCCAACCTGATGAGCACATTTAAATTATCATCCCAGTGTTCCCAAATCCTGGGCACAATGCACAGCAATTTTCATTCAAATTGTCCTTGAATGGTAACTGACTCATAGCTGACCCTCCATTGGGTTTCAGAGGCTGTAAATCACATGGGAGGAGTCTGACTATCTTTTGCCCTGGGAGTTCCTGGTGGATTCAAACCACAAGAAAGGTGTGGCCTTTGGGTTAATAGCTCAACTCCCTAAAGACTGGGCCACCAGAGCTCCTAGCTCAGTAACATTATATTCACTAAATGTAGTATTAGATAAATCTTGTTAGGGGACATGCCCGTATATGTATGCTGGTACATATGTACTTATAGCTATATTTGCACATATATGCATTTATACATCTAATTATACACATGCATATATACACATACATGCTTATACCATCTATAACCGAATAAGCATTTATGTCTGTAATAAACTAAACTGAATCAATTTGTTTTACTGATACAAAGTAACTAGCAACCAGCTTTGAAACATCAGAACAAGCTCTCTTCTAAATTGTTACTTCTCTGCTAGAGAGGCAGCGGGTTTCCCCATATAAAGGACTGTCTCCACTTCCTAATGTCAGCTTCTAGCAACCTAAATGCTCTTAACTTTTCAGATTTTCTTTCTCCTTGAAATACTCAAAGTAAAGCAAAGCCCTACTTCAAACTCTTGAACTATCACTTTCCTCCCAAGCTATTCAGATGCAGGAGTTCCACGGGTTGAATTTAAAAAGTGCTGCAACAATGGGGGAACAAAGTAGCAAAAGTTTATAAAGATAAAAGCAAAACAAGCCTGTAGAGCCCAATCCAATCCAAAAGATCCTACAGGTGAGAGCAGTACTCCCCTGTGAGGGTCCCCAGGCTGAAATCTCTACAGAATAGCACGTCTTTCTCCTGCTGAGTGGCTGGTGTGTTCGAACTGCTGGCCTTTAGGTTAGCTAAGCTTCTCAACAGGACAACGCCAGAGCATCTTCAAAAAAAGCTTATCGACATTTTCATTTCACCCGGTGTTCCACCAACTATGCCTGAGGTACTATCTAACCCTGATTGGAGGGCCCAACTGATTCCATGCTTTCTTATATCACATAAGCTTCTCTGTATTAAAGATAGGTTTATTCTGAAACAAGTGACTTAGGATCATACACACATCTTACAACACTCCCCTCAGCTGTCTCATGCCAAGTAAGAAGAAAAAAAAAAATTAAATCCTCTTCCCAGGATGACATTAATCCCGCAAAATACACTAACTGTGTGTATGTGGGAAATTAATAGAAAAGAAAAAGCATAAATTAACCATAACCTTCGACTTCTGACTGTTATATTTGACTAAGCATATGCAATTACACACCTAATGATTTCATTATGCTTGTCAATGAAATGGTACAGCCCCCCCCTTGACCCGCGTTAAAAGCACAGTTTTGCCCCCAAATTTTCCCCTCGAGATGCAAAGTGTCTCCCAAATGGGCAGAAACATAAACATGCTTAGAGTCTTCCCTGCTGCCTCAAAATTCCGTAAGCCAATAAGCAATGGGTGTAAAGTGCAAAATCTCAGAAGAGTGAGACCTCTTTTCTGCTTCGGGTAATAAACCGTTCTTCACACTTCACCTTTACTTCCTTTAACTATGAAAAGTTACTTAATGTTCAGAGCCGTATCAATGGAAATTTCGCTAAGCACTGGCGTCGCAGAGGTTCATGGCCAAAGAAATATAAGATTACATGAATTCTCCAGCGCTTTAGCTCAAGTTTTCCCGTTCATCTTCACCTACAGACTTTTCAAAAGTTTGTATCCCTGTTGCACGCAAAATTACTTGTCACATGTGTGCACACTAGAATTTTTTTTTTTTACAAATACATAAAGCGCTGCATATTGAAACGTTACCAACCTGCTCTATCGTCCTGACAGTGCAAAAGGCAAAAAAGAGCTCAGTAATCCTAGCAGAAGAATGCAAATAACGTCGATGCACAGCAGAACTGCAAGCCCTGCCTTACAGGAACTCTCTGTGTCTGCAAAAAAAGACACACACTAAACAGGAAATGCAACTGAGCTGGGGAAAACCTCAAACTTAAAAATGCAATCGCCAGGCGAACATTGCATCCATGCATTCACAGATGCATGCACAACCCTTTGCATTTTTTGCAAGGAATGCAAACAGGCTCTTACCTTTCGACTGAGACATTTTCCCCTTTCCTTTGATGGGGGAGGGGAGCACAAAAGACTTTGCCTGGCTTCTCTTCTGTAGCTAGTTTTGCAACAAAGATGCAAGCTGCAGGCGTGCAATCTTCATGCAAGTGGAGTTTCTCTTGACCGAGGCAGCAGATGGACGTTCAGGGAATCAAGATGGAAATGCACACCTTGCAAAACAGACTGGAAAGTGATTTTTTTCCCCCAGTTGCAACGTTAGGCAAGGCTGTGCTGCAGCTACATGATGGGCCAGAGCTGGCAGCTAAAAGCTCCAAACTTGGAACTGAGTATGTTAGTGCGCAGACGTCTTTCCTGCGAGGGGCGCCAGGCACGCTGGGTAATGTAGTTCCAGGGTGGAGTCCTCGGGGCGCTGATTCAAGGCAACGTGGTCTCCTGGTCGTTGAGCCCGGTGACTCCTGGATGCGATCAGAGGAAGAACGTAGGCATGCTGTCCGCAAGCAACGCTTGAAAATCAGCGTGACCAAGAGAAGGGAGCATTCTGTTCTCGAAAAGCCTTTGCTTCAAAAGCAGCAGCAGCTTAAAGGGCTTGCAATTAAGCTAAAGAGCCTTTGGCTGGCTTCAGAAGGTCGGTCTGGGTGTGTGACCCTCACACCTCCACTTTAGGAAACACTTTGCTTCGAAAGAAGATGGACTTGTCAGCGATTGGCCTGGCTGGTGGTGTAGCTACCCTTTAATAACCCTGCCTGGCTGTATGCACAGTTTTATTGATTAAGAAAGTTTTTTTCTAGTAACTTGGAATTCCAAGCCTGATAGGTGTTTGGGGAGGGAGGCTGGGAGGGTACGCATTTCTCCCGAGGTTAAATGGGAAATTCTGGGTGTTACATACCAAAGGGAAATTTAAGCAAATTGAAACTGCTTGGACGCTTTTCCACACTTGGAGGAAGGACCATCCCAGGCCTAAGGGGAAAAAAAAATCCTGGGCCTTTGCGTCCTTCAGATTCCGAGCAGCAGCGAGACTGTGCAGAATTGCCCCCGGGGGTCTCAGAGGCTGTGGTTTTTTAAAGACTGCCAACGCCCAGTGCTCCGCAACTGCCCAGCGGGGCTCCTCCCAGGGGACAAAGCCGTGGTCATCTTTAACAAGGTCAAATAATCTTCATTTATTCAACAAAATTAGCACATGCACCCTAAAGGTTTGAGAAAATGCCTGGAGTCTTCCACGCATAGGTCCTGCTCCTGTCTAGTGGGTGGGGTGGGTGGCATCTACTGGAAATGTGCAGGTAAATTCCTGCAGGTGACACAAGTGGCTGGGGGCTGGGGGCAGGAGAGGGGAGAGCAGAGCTTGGGCTGAAACTCAGAAACGGAGGACTGGGGACGGCTGTGGTACAAGGAAGACTGACGGGCACTCTCTCTGCGTAAAAAGGAACAGAAGAAAGCTATACCGTATTCAAACAGATGAGGGAGAGAACTGTTTAAAAGGGATATATGATTGGATGTGATTGTCATGACAGGAGTCCAGAAAGAAGGCTGCACAGTGGAGTGGACTTGGGGGGAGGGATTGCATAACAATGAAAGAGGGGTTATTTTTTTCCTTTTCAAGGAGAAGAGTGAATTGAGGGGGGAGGGAGTGGGCAGGGAGAAAAGTGCAACAATGAATGATGGAAACCCTAAGTCTTTGTAAACTTTCATTAAAATTATTTTTTTAAATGAACAGAAACATGCACATCCATGTTTATTGCGGCTTTGTTCATAATAGCAAGGAGTTGGAAACAAACTAAGTGCCCATCAACAAACGAATGGATAGAGAAGATGTGGTATAGTCACACAATGGAATACTACACTGCATTGAAAAACAAGGAACTCATGCAATATTATTCAAAATGGGTGACCCTGGAGGACATTGTGCGGAGTGAAGTATCTTGGTCAAAAAAGGACAAATACTGCATAGTGCCACTGTTGTAAAACAGGACTGACTTTCGGGTTGGGTGGAGACTGAGAAAGATGGGTTCAATAATGTATACTGCATTGAAACAGATGAGGGAGAAAACTGTATAAAAGGGATATGTGATAAGATTTTTGTCATGACAGGAGTCCAGAGCGAAAGCTGCATAGTGGAGTGGACCTGGGAGGAGGGATTGTAAAACAATAAAAGAATCTTTCTTTTACTTTTCCAAGAGGGTAGTGTACTAGGGGGGAGGGTTGAGAGGGGGAGAAAAGTACAATGAATGAATGGAAATCCAAAGTCTCTAAATTTTCATTAAAATTAATAATAAGTTTAAAAGAAAAAAGAGAAAAATGAACAGAGACCTCTAGCCCTTTAAGGAGGCTTATAGTAAGAACCTCGAGGCAGTGGGTTCATTTTTGTTTTGGTTTGAAATTCAAACAGAACGCAGTGACAAGAATAAAGATAGCAGATAGCATATTCAAGAGTCTTTAGGTGGTGCAGATAGGAAGGACCCCACTGTTAGTCCGAAGGATGGAGGTTCAAGCCAACTTGATCCTAAGAAGGAAATAACCCACATCTATCTCTGAGGGGAAATCAGCCATTGGAAACCTTTCGTAATACTGTTCTGCTCTGACACACAGGGTCACCTGAGTTAGCATCCATCTGATACTTTCCTCCCCACCCCACCCACACACCCCCACCCCCCTTCACCCCTACCCTGTCCCCAGCCATTAAGGGATATTGCTTTGTGTGCTGGGGGTGTGGTGTGGGTGGAATTTATGGGTAGAGATTCTACAGGGCCTTAAAAGGCTGGAAGTTTGGACTTTATTCCACAGGTGGTTGGGAGTCAGTGAAAGGAGGCGTAACCTCTTGAAGGCATTGTTTTAAGAAGGTGAATTTGCCCTCCTTGGTCAAGGTAGCTTGGGAGGGTCCAGGCCAGAGTTAGATGGGTAATTAAAGGATCATCAGTCACACTTGAAAACAGGCTTAAACTAGACTGCAAATGAAAACTATTTGGAAGGGGTGTTTTATTTTGGTTTTTTCCCTGAAAGATTCACAATTTTACCAGAGGAAGTAATGGATACACCAGAAGGAAGCCGACCACTGTGTCTTAGCTTCGAATCAGCAAATCAACTCAGAGGAAAAGTGCAATCATTCCTAGGATAGGCATTCATTCACCCAACGTGTTCCCTTTCCTGACACTGTACTTCAGATCAGCCAAGTCAACCTCATGTCCATACGGCCTCTAGGAGTATTGGGGTCATATGGACATGAGCAGGGCCACAGAAAGTTACCAGAAAGCCCCTCTTCCACTCCCCTGAGTCAGTGCATGCTGTCTCTTCTACCAATGGTCCCAGCCATTGAAAACCCCGGGATCATGGTTCACCTCTGAAGCCCAAAGGGTTGCTGTGAGTTGGCATGGAGGAGAATGGCCCAAGAGCAAGTGGTGGGTTATTCCCTTCTCACTCGCCCTTCTCTTTCTTGTGCCAGCGACACACACACAATCTCAGAGCCTAGTTGAACCAGCTTTTAAGGTTTCTCTAACCAGTGGGCATCTTTTTTTTTTTTTTAGATCTATTTCAACACTGGTGGAGTGAGACTCAATATCAAGAAGACAAAGATTCTCACCACTAGACCATCAGGATGGATGGTGAAGAGATTGATATTGTTCACAGCTTTAGTCTGGCTGGCTCCACAGTCAACACTCTTGGTACCAGCAGACAGGAAATGAAAAGACGTAGTATTTGATGGGAAAGTCTGCAGTTAGAGACCTCCAAAGTACTGAAGAGCAATGGTGTCTCTCTGGAGACTAAGGTGTATCTGATAGAGGCCATGGTCTTTGTAATCACTTGTATGCATCAGAGAGTTGGACAATGACTAGGGAGGATAGGAGAATTGATGCCTTTGAGCTGTCGTGATGGAGAAGAGTATTGAGAATTGATGCCTTTGAGCTGTGGTGCTGGAGAAGAGTATTGAGGGTACCATGGACTGCTAAGAAAACAAACAGATTCATCCTGGAAAGAGTTAAACCAGGCTGCTCCTTGGAGGCAAGGATTCTGAGGCTTCGTCTGACATACTTTGGACATGTCGTACGGAGGGACTGGTCCTTGGAGAGGGACGTCATGCTTGGAAGGGTGGAGGGATGGCACAGGAGGGGAAGGCCCTCTATGAGGTGGATTGATTCAGTGACTGGGGTAATCAGGGTGGGTGTGTCGGAGACAGTGAGATTGGCACAGGACAGAGCAGGGTTTTGTGCTATTGTACATAGCGTCGATATGAGTTGCAAGTGACTCGATGGCACATAACAACAACAACAACATTTCAACACATCCAGGCTCCCTTTCCAAACATTGATGGAGCCCCACTACGTTCCAGGCCCTGCTTGGGGTAGCTATGGAACTGCACGCCCCCTTGCTTAGACCAGGGAGGACCTGAACAACAACTTTGTTTCAGTTTGCATTCAGTTAAGTGACATCATAATTGCCCCCGGACTCGCTTATGGCAGCACCTAATCGCCACTCGTCTGGTGGGTTTTGCCCCCATCCTACCTGCTCCTGCTTCCCCTGTCTAGACACACATAACTTACACTTGCAAATGGTCTGCGCTGTGAAAGCAACCATTTGCCCAGAGAAACAACATGACATTCAACACCTGATGCATCAGTAGACGTCATGCCGCTCCTTCAGAAATCAACTAGGGTGAAAAAACAACCAGCCACCTTTACCATTACTGTTCTTTCTGGGAGAAGTGGATTTTGAATTCCCAGCGGAAGACTGAGTGACAGAAAACAGCGCTTGCTGTGAAGTCATTGATTCTGACATCAGGTTCTTCCTGGCCTGGTGGCAGTTTTCTTCTCCGTGTTGTGGGTGAAGAAAGGTGCTGTGTCTTGTGTGGGGGGCGAGGTTCCTCTTCTTGCCAAGCTCCCTGGTAGTGGTACTAAGAGGCAAAACCCTCACCCATTGGTATAGAAGGACAAATGGGGCTTTGGGGCACATCTGGTTTTCCACAACACGGCCCATCAAGTGCTTCTTCAAGTACCCGACCTTCTGTTTGCACCCTGCATTCTTACAGCTTCTCTCCTTCAGATCTGCGGAAAATGCAGGTTGGAGGCTTCCTGCTCTCGGCTTCTGGTTACCGTAAGATTGAATTCTACGTCCTTAGCACGGTGTGACTGGCTCCAGAGATGGCACCTGCCTACCTCCAGCTTCTTTTCTCACTCCCTGCCCTTTGATAAAGCCAGAAGACTGTAGGAGGCTTGGTCACTACTCTTAGATCCCCTGCTCCCTGCCTTATCAGTCTTTGCCATCTTCTACTTAAGAACCTCTGTGTACCTAGGGAGCTCTTGTAGCTTTGGGATGAGAAGTTGCAGTGCCAACCCCAAGGCACCCAGTTC